CAGATTGAATCACTCAAACATTTATCATTATAAGCATTATACAATAGTTTTAGAGAATCAATAGAAAATACTGCTTTAACTTCTTTTTTTTCAAAAGAAGCTCATGGCTATATTTTTTAAACTTTATAATAAAATGGCACGTAATTTGCTTTCAAACCTAGTTTTAATAATGCTATCGATGATCTTTTTTTTCACCCATACTAAATTTGGTATTTAAAAAAAAATACGGTAGAACTCCTTCTTTGGGACACTCCTAGTAATGCACATGTCCACTGAAGGACACCGCTATAATCAGATTGGCCCTGACGGAGTCCTCTTTAAGTGCTGGGCTTGTTGATGTTAATATGTTGTAAAACTGATTTTCTAAGACAAAACAATGGTGGTTGACGGAAAAAAGTGGGAAGGGTTAATGAGATACATATTTTTGAATATAGGCCTAAAACGGACATAAGAGATGGAAATGGCGGTTACTTCCCTTTCCCCCAGTTTTTAAATATTCAAAAATCCTCTATCTCATTAACCTTCGTCAAACAACCTTGTTTGTGTCCTAGGTAAATCGCTTCTACAACATAATCATTAAATGTTTTTCGTCCGGAGCCTGGCTTTAATTGGGGCTCAACTGTATTATATCTGAAGAGGAAGCGAAACTGGTACAAATGGTGATTAATTCTTATCTGAGAATTTAAGCACTATTTTTCTATACAATAATTACCATTTCAACTCTATAATAGGTTAAATATACGATGTGTCTTCGCAAAAAGCTTTTTAACAATATTTAGGGCCTCAATCTAAAAATACGAAATATCTTAATGTAAATATAAAATTTATATTACATCAAAGCAAACAATTGAGTACGGTAGGTACATAGAGGCGACAAAATAAAAACAAATATTACTAATGATGGCATTGATATAAATGCTGACAGACTATAATGTCTAAGTTCGACCACAGAATGTCTTACTAAAGCCCTCTCTATACTCAGTAAATTTGTAGGCGTAAACAAACGGGTTAGCCACCGTATTAGATACAAACATGAATAAGGCTATTTTAGGTGTGATTTTAAATGTGATTAATAATATCAAAACAAGTGCATATTGTGTAAACAACATACAACAATATCAAAGGAAAAATACAGATGATAAAGACCACTGTAGCGATGGACATAGTAATGACAAAATTCCGTTCAGCATCTTCTTTCCGGCGGGATTGAGAACTGCTTTCTTCAACGTCCGCTACATCAATGCAATGATCCGTTGAATTGGTAGCACAATTAATTTCTCCTTGCATTTTAATTTGTTCACGAGTTTTTAATTGTTTAGTCAGTGTGACGTAAACCTTCCAGTAGCAGTACACCAAGATACAGATGGGCATTACCGTATTTGCAAGAAATATAAAAACACCTGACAGTATTTTAAGACCTTCGTTTCTGTAACACAGTCTACATTTTCCATGATTTATAGGATCCACATCTTGTATAAACACATACTGAAATGTTATTAGAAACGCAGTAAAGTAAGGGAAACATAGATGCAGAAGCATACCCCTTTTTCGGTTATCCCTTATCCAGTAATTCAACGGATGCACCACTGCGATGTACCTCTCAATAGAAATATAGAAAAGATTATGCGTCGAGGCGGTTAAAAGGAAGAAGATTGTTTCACACTTACAAAATATTACGTCATTTTGTCCACTAGGGGCAGGGTGTTCGTAAAAATACAGATAAAGGCAACATGCTACTAAATCTATAAAAGATTGTTGAAACACTAGAAGATATGTGAATGATCTACGATGGATTTTGCAGTTGATAAACACAATAATCACCGTCAAATTGGCAAGAAATCCAATAACTGTGAGAAAGTAACGTGCAACAGATAAAAGTTCCTGTTCTTCGTTCGTTTCAAGTTTGGACACGTAATTTTCACAAGTTGACATTTTCTATAATATAAAGATATACAAAATTCATAATAAATATAAATTTAATTGAGTATTTCTATTTCAATAATATATATTTTAAAAACTACATTCTCTGAATACAAGTAATGCTGAGGATGTAAATATCTCGTATCACTAAAGCCAGTTTCTCTTATTATATTTTATATTTTGCATCGTTGTTAACGAAGGATGAGCTATCTTTCTGATTTTATTTTATTACTAAAAGTTCTTACCTTCTTTTGCGCTTTTGATTTCTTTTGCTTTGTCCAGAATAAAAATACATTGTAGTAGTGCACTTAATACGATCGAAGTTCTTTTTTTCTAGAATCTGAAATTCTATCGATGAGGCATTATTATATGAGCTAGAAAAAAAACAGCCTCAATGGATGATCAAAAGTGAGAGTTCACTTTATTTTGATTGTTTGTATTCATTGATCGTATCAGAGGCACCGACTTTTAGTCATAGTGCAACTTGCTAATGCTGAAGAAGTCGAGGTCAGTCTACAATCACTTTTGCTGTTAACAACTGATTAGTGTTTTGGTTCTCTTCTGCAAGTTATTAATATCGCTATAAAAATATATTATTAAAGCAAGCTTGTCATCGGCGCTGGAAGATTTTAGAAAGATGTTGAGCTATTTGAAGAGGAATGATCTAAGATTGGATTTGAATAATTCAAGATCAGATACGTACTATAACTACTACTGGTGGTGGTGGTGCTACTTCTACTGTTGCTGCTGCTGCTGCTGTAGAATTACATTTTATTTGAGTATACGTCTCCATTTTACATAGACACAACAAAAATACACACCTCCCTTGAATAAACGCCCCTCAAAAACTCTTCTCAACAGTAAACGCCCTGGGGCGTTTATTCGAATAAATACGTTATTACCATTATTATAATTATCATCATCATCATCATCATCCTCATCATCATCATCATCATCTATAACCTTCAGTAACAATACCGTAAGTATTATCTAGATAGTGGTTTTGTTCTTCAAATCTTATAATTGTAAAATATTATATCTTCCATATATTTCGTTGAACCGGTGATATATTTACAGTCGATGCACCGTTTATTATTTTGTGACGTTTCCCCACCATGTTACACATACACAACTGTAGTAGAATGACAACACAAACAGGAATGGTAGACTTTATTTAATATCAAACAAACAGCAGAAATTTGACATAAAAACAAAGTATAAAAATACAAAATACCAAATGACCAATTAAATTCTTACTATAATCGTGATTAATTTACTTTTAAACAAGAAGGTTTTTTTTTATCTTAATATTATTATGAAATTTGATGATATAGGTAAAATAACATTTATTTATTTATTTACTGTTATCTTTAACGACAAAAGACTCTGATTCAGAGGCCTTTCATACAAGAATTAAAATACATAAAGAAAGGTATTAGAGAACTTAGTAATGTCCTTTTAAGGAATCATTGTAAAAACACTAGTTAAAACAAGTACATGTGCTTAATTTTAAAAAAAAGTTTAAAATGCAAGTTAAAGTGTACACCAAATCACTGTTAAACGGCAAATAATCGATAATACAGTGCACCCTCTAATTTGAGACCCCTCTAATTCTGGGACCACTCTTATCCGAGACCACTTCTCCAAAGAAACAAATAACAATCTTCAACCTTTTAACACAAAGCTAGCCCTCGTATTGGAGACCAATCCCTGAGACCACCCCAGATTTTCAGGTCCCAGGGGTGGTCTCGAATTTGAGGGCGAACTGTATTAATTAATTTGGTGATTTTCTACATAGCAACGAGTGTTAATTTTAACAAATTAAACCGTAATTATCGCATTTATTCGAATAAACACCCGAGGGCGTTTGTTGTTGAAAAGGTTTGTTGAGGGTGGTGGGAGGGGGCTTTATTCGAGGGAGGTGTTTATTTTGTGTGTGTGTGTGGGTGTGTGTGCGCTCATGTGAATCCATACCAACCGATGACACACCTGTGAAGACACACCTGTTTAGAGATGGCATACTCGCGAACGATGACGTCGCCAGTTCTCAAAATAGCTTTAAACAGTGAGAGCTCCCTCTATATACCCCCTGGTGAAATATCTGAGTTAGGAATTTTTCTAAGTTCATAGACACACGTTGTGTGTTGTACAAATAAGCAGCTGTATCTTGTGACATACTCGTATCGTACTCAGTTATGCAGTGGCCTACTCAATGTTAGGGTTGTTGCTAAACATCCCTTGCTTACTCACAGATATAGCATTATACACATTTTTAACATAAAAAAAAAAGATTAACTACGTCACCACTTGTAAGGTTTTTTTTCCATGTCATCGGTTGTAGCTCCTTCATATGTAGGTGTGTGTGTGTGTATGTGGGTGTAAATTAGATACGTATGCTCAAATAACGCCCCTAAATTTCACTATAAATGTGGAACTATATAATGTTATTGCGTGATCATTAAGATCCTAACCTTGTTAAAAGATATGTGGAGTAGAACATGAATCAAATCGGGGCGTTTTTTCGAATAAATACGGTATCTGCACACTGCGATGGGCCAATTTGAAAACACTGACTTGAAGCTAGGCATACGCTGCGTCGTACAATCGTCGGTCGACGAACCATCTCTCCTCTCTGTCCTGGCAGTGTTTTGACGATGCGACACCGTCTAGTGATTGTCGTTGCCAGTCTGAACGTATTGGCATTACCGATTCATTGCGCGTGCGTCATCGCGTTGCGTTCTGCATGGAATCCCGTCGGCAGACGATCGTAGGACGCATGTGTGCACGACTAAGTTGTTAGAATATTTATTTCCATTTTAATATTCAAGATTAAAGATTAATTTTTTGGTCGAACACAAGTAGAGCCTAATAATAATATAAACATGGTTCGAAGCTTTGGTTTATTATACATGCATAACATTTTTACATTGTCTAAAATCTGTTACTAAAATATAAAACATCAAAATACACAAGCCGCACTGAAAACAACCATTTTTAAAATGTTAATATGTAGTTAAAAGCATGTTAAAGTATTAAAACATTAAGAGGAGGTAAAATATTAAAACATTAAGAGGAGTTACAAAATTAAAAGCAGTATTTTGCTGAAGTCGTTTTAAAATATCTATAAATTTTACCTCTTCAACATTCATCATTGTCTCATGGAAATGGAAAAAATAATTTTCTAATTCTTTCTGTCTTCCATCGTGGATATCATTGTTATGCGACCTGCTTTACTAATTTTAATATACTGATGAAGAGGATGATTTGTGTGTGATAAGATTAGGCCTACTTTGGAAATGTATCATAAACTGCCATGCTTACTACAGTGTCAACCTCTTTGATATCCGTTCCAATTATAATAGTTTCTTAACAATTTTTTAAATTCTATTTATTTTATTCATGTTGAACAAAAAGTTGAAATAGATTTTTTTAAATCTGATTCGGTTAAAACGTTTAGCAAAATATAATACAGGCCTCCCTTCAATTAAGGATCACTTTTATGGTCTAAGCAGGTTTGGTCTAGAATAATAAAGATTAAAAAAAAACATTTGTGAATGTGGGACCAAAAAAAAATGATATTTGATTAGAGGTGGGCTTTAGGAGGGATCTTTAATTAGAGGGCGAACTGTTTTTTAACCGCTTGTTTTTTTTAAAGTCAATTATCAGCTTTTAATAAAATTTGAACATAGCGACAACCGGTACTAAGTCTGGGCTGCATTAATGAAATGTACGAAATTTATAAACTAAAAATAGATATGCCCATGATGACAGTATTATTGATAATATTCAGCCATTATCGTTTGTTATGCTAATGCCGTGGTTGATTGACGTCATATTGACGTCATCAGAGCTTGAAAACAGTGTCCGACTTCTGATTCTTCTGACGATAACTTTAAAGCCGACTTTAAAGTCTCTGAACTTAAATGCATATATAAATGGATTTATTGTCAGATTCAGTGCATTGAGAAGAACTGTGATGTCATGTATCACCGATGTTTCGAACTCCAAACAGTTGCACACTGAGTGAATTGAATAGTATACAACGTTGGGGGTTAATGTTATTATGAACGCCATGAAGATCAGTAATAGCGTAGTGATAACATTCCTTTCCGCCATATCACGGCGCCTGTGAGTGCCATATTTATTTTCCCTTGTTGGTAGGCTAGCATTCTTGGATCTCTCTTTTAAAGTGTGCAAAATACGGATATAACAATATGACATAGCCACAACCGGGATCAGCCAAAATGTTAGAAAAATTATGCCAGCAGACCACTTAGCTATCGCCTCTACTGGATATGAATATTCACAAGTACCCGGATGTTCGGCAACAAAATCTGCGAAAATGGTAAGCTGGATCCCAGTAAGAAATGTAATAACATGCGGAATTGCCAGAATTATTCTACGTTTTACTGGGCTCTGACTATTTCGAAAATATTTTCTAGGATGAACAACTGCAATGTAGCGTTCAATGGTCAAAATAAGAAGATTCTGGGTGGAAGCTGACAGGAAGTAGAAAAATATGGTACGACATCGACAAAGAATTGATCCCCTGATGTCACTATGGATGGTAGAATTGTACACTACAGGAAAGAAAAAGCAGCCAAAGAGATCAATTATTGACTGATGGAGTATCAACAAGCGTGTTATAGATTTCTTGTGAATGTTATTGTACAAAAACACGAATGCGACCAGAAAGTTTGCCAGAACGCCAACAATACTAACTACATATCGCAAAGCGACGATATAGGGTCGAGGGTCATATTCGACAAAGGTGGTATTACTGTCCATCTGAAAATTGCGACAAAATAATAATTAATAATTATATTTTAAAACTATCAACTTTAAAATTGGTAACGCTTAATGTAAATATCAGTAAGCCAAATTAGTACCACGGTTCCCCTATTATAATTAATGTATGACTCATATTTGTTTATTTATTTTATTTTATTTATTTATTTATAAACAAACCAACAGCGAAAACAAGAATCAACAAACAAGAAAGGATTATATAAAAAATCATAAAACAGTACAGACGGGTTACGAGATAAAAAAAAAAATTAAAAAAAACATTGTACTTACTTTGAGAGAGAGAGAGAAACAGGAGAATACGGATAATAAAATAATATAATGATGGTAATAAATATTTTTAAATAAAAGTTAAATAAGTAACTCGGAAATGTAACCGGAGGAAAGCCTCTTAAAAACTACTAGGCCCCAATGAATTACTAAAAAATACCCACTTCTGGCCAAGCGTTAACAAAATCATTATATATTGACGATATACGATTAACAAATCCATTTTTTGCAAATATTAACTTTGGGAAAGGAAACATCGAAACCTAATATTTTTCAAGGCAGCACGGGCATTATGGTAGGCCTCTACGGTGGAGCATTTTCTATGGTGGAACTAGGACTGGATAACTTTTGATATTAAACACACCAAAGATAACCAAGTATGTCCGAAGATTCACATGAAAAGAATAGTTTGAGCTAAGAAAACCTAGTTAGTCAATACTATCTGTTTTATTTGTTTTCATTCATAGGTCCCCGAAGAATTGTTCTAGTGGGTTCTTATAAGAGGTACTTCCGCACTTTTGTAATTACTCCTATGCTACATTGTTACTTAGGCCTATGTATTTCCAAAGTTGTAAAAAAAAAAACCTAAATTAAGTGGAAAAGGGAACCAACATCAATTATAATGTTAGCTTGAATTAAATAGGCCTAATTGTCGAAAAATTAAACAACTGTTAAAGGTTGATAAGAAAATACTATAAACTCAGGCGCACCGGAAGCTATTTTTATTCGTCCGGCCAAATATAGGGCCTACACAATCATCATCATCGCATTATTATGACTTTAAATATTGTTGAAATAAAACAAAATAAAATAAAATTTCCCGCCGGACGCCATCCCGGTATTTCGGAGTCTAGATTTCGGGCCGGAATATGATTTTGGTGCCATATCATGATAAATAGGCCTAAGCTTGATACTAAACTACAATGAAAAATGAAATCATTTCAAATTTGTTCCATATTTTTTAAAAGCTGAATGTGCAAGTTATGTTTGATTGCGTCTGAGAAAGTAGAATTAGGCTTATAAATGATATTGAGTTGTAAGTTATTAGTCAGGCCAAAACCGGACCAGCCGGACCGCTTCCGACGCCCATTAGTAATAGAGCAAATACAATTAATAAAAGTGTCAAAATGTCATGAAAACCAACAAACTAATGATATACTTCAAGAATATCACTTACGTAAGATTACTACGAAACATAATATGCTCCTTATTTAAAAAATTGATACTACTACGAATAAATATTATTGATAACTAACCTTGAAGCAGCGTACAGCACGGAATTTGAATCTATTGTAACTATTCGATATTAGCTAAGTGTCCACAGCATAAGTAGTTTGTTTGAAAGTAAAATATAGTAATATATTTTTGTACGACAGGGAAGTAAAACAATAATAAGAGAAACGTGTTACAGTTTCTATTTCTAATTAAAATGAAAGGCAAAAGCTAACCGATCATATTATATATTGGGGTCATAGTAGAAGCGTCTTCTACCACCACCACCACCACCACACAGTGGACACGGTGTATTGATTTGCTTGTTCTTGTATTGGTAAATTGATGTTTTTAATGTTTGATGTTTGAAATGTTTTTTTCTTTAATAATGCCGAATAAGTTCAATTCAGTTCAATTATTTAAACATTTTAAATTAAGCTATATAGAAAGTAATTTTACCAGACAGATAATATTTCTAAACATGACAACTGTGCCAAAACCAACATTAAACAACAATGAACTAAACAGTGTAAATCATTCTGTGCGTATTGAATGACACAAATTGAAAGTAAGACATTATAATAAGAGTTTCGAGACTGTAGTAGAGCTCTAAATTACCCGAATACCTTTCAAAAAATACAATTAATTACTTTTCTTTTCTAATTAATTAAGTTTTCGGCTTGCTTCCTTGTACTCGTTAAGCGATACCGCAAATCGTATGTTTCGTCCTTCTTAAAATGGTAGTGGAAATTCCAGATTTCCTTTCGAGTTCGTGTGAGTGCCTTCTGTTAGTTTTGAAGCAGCTGCGGCCATTGCTAAAGCTTGAGCTTTTTTTTACGTCTACATTTTCAAGATGATTAAGTGACTCCAGCTTAACTGAGCAGCTTTCTTTCTCCATGCATTGTGAATGTACTGTGGGAGCTTTTCTAGGATCAGATAGAGGCTGTAGGAGTTTTCTCTTTTCTAGGATCGGATAGAGGCTGTGGGAGTTTTGTTGCTAAATACTTAGCAACTCTTTCATGAGCGCGTTCGCCGTTAGCTCTAACGACGTTTGTTCCCCTGTCACACCTCAGCCGTGCGACAGAAAGTAGTGAGACAAACCTACGTAAGGCTAATATGAATGATGAGGTGTCCATAAGATTCGATTACTTCGATGTGTACTGCTTGGCTGCACAAACAGGGGAATAAGACTGCCCAACTAGGATCTCTCTGAGAGTGGTCGGTCCCACATATATCTTGAGGAGAGTTGTGTTCCCCTTTCATTTCTGTCGTTATTTTAGTAAACATCTTGCATTCGGACAGGGTGTGGCCTTCTCGGTTATGAAAGATGCATCTCATCTCAGGTGTAGAGGTTGTAGGTTTGTTGCCATTTAACCGACATACAATATGTCAATAATAATTGAGTACTCGTTTCGTCCGTTTTATTCACCGCCACGTATAATTGATAATGGTGTATTTATTCCAAAGAGGAGCTGAATAGCTCAGTGGTTAAGATGCTTGCCTTCTGATCCCAGGATCCTGGGTTTAATTCCTGTCACAGCAGGAATTCTTCTCACGACTAAAAAAACTCCACTCATAAAGAGGCTTATAAAGCATCATTCTTATCCTGTAAGTGGCGAGTGCTGATGGATGTGAAGGAAATAAAAAAAAATCTTGGCTGTAAAATTGTTTTTAAATTCATAAAATAGCCATATAACCAACTAATGAAAATTTGTGAAAATAGAACACTAGTTGAAATTTAAAAAAAATATAACACATAGATACATTTATATAAAGCATCTAAGAAAACTTTATAGTTGTCTAACAAAGCACCAACAGTTCTTTTGGAAAGCGAAGACCAGTTTCTGTCTCAAATCTAACATTCTTTGTAGAAACGCCTGCATGTCTTTAGTTTCTTCGCTGCTACAAAACTCCGTAAATTAAAACTTGGCGGCATTATGGGATCATATTATCGTGGTCGTGAAAGTATAAAGGACCATGGCCGATTCCAAAAACATGCATATCTTACAATAGAACGACCTCTATCCGATCAACTCAGCTTCAGCGCAGATGAGACAACATTCATAGAACTCTAGACGGTTCTTTTGCCTGGTTGTCTAATTTGACCGTAATTTGTAGTTTTGAAGAAAGTTTATAGACTACCGCTCAACAACAAAATGACTTTTTAAAAAGCCTCTACCAGTGGTGGATCCAGAAATTCGAAATAAAACGGGCTCGAGGACTTTCTCAGATAGAGGTTCTATACTACTGGATGGCCGGTTGCTACACTCTCAGACATAACATTTGGGGAGTGGGTGGCCGTCTGGGGCCCCCTCGAATCCGCCACTGTCTACAGTATATTAATTTTTAATTTGCAGTACTTGAGACTTTCCATTTCCTTGTTTGTTGTGGACTTTTCTCATGCAATCTGTAGAAAACCTCTGCTACCACTATACGGTACCGTAGTTGCTACAGCTTGTTCCAATGCCTGATATTATCCCCCACTTGTAACGACTCGCTGCCTCCAAAGTTACACCTTCTCAATCAACCAATAAAAAGAGTAAATTTTATTGCATCTTTAAAATATTTTAATATTTTAAATGCCTTCTAATTATAGTTTAAAATTATATGAAGTGTTGTTTCATAAAGTTTTAAGCTTCTACACAGAATATTACCGACACAAATAAACTTAAATTATGGAACTTGCCTTCACAAAACATTGTGAGTATTGTAATCTCCCAGAAAACGTATGCTATTTAAATGCAGGGAGATAGAATTATGTTGAGAAAAGTTCTATGTTATGTTAGAAACTTGTTTTTAGTTGGGAGTTATATGACGAAAGTATCAATTAAATACTTTAAATTTTAACATTCTGTATATAAAAGTAAAGTAAGGTATAGACTTGGTCTTACAAAAAAATGTCCTTGGTCATTATTTACTTGAGTTGGAACTGATCGGTTGTGAATTTTTAACTAACATTAAAAAAGCAAAACAAAAGTGGCCGTTGATTGACCTTAATAAAATTGAAAGAGAATTACGATCATAATAAATGTACATTGCTTATCGTGACCAATGTCAGTGCAGCACTTACATAATAATTAAAACTTTCAGTGATTTATTATAGCAATAAAATAAAAAATAAAAATACAAGAAAAGAAAAAATAATAACAATTGAATTATATATGGATGATTTGTCTACCAAGGCTTATTTTTTCATTATTATGAAAGCTTAAGATGATCATTAAATTATCCAAATGAATGAAATGATATAAAGGACCGTTGGTTCAAAAGGAGTAAAAAAAGATTGTCATTTTGTGCTACGCTGTTCATCGGTTCCTTTCACCTTTTTACACAACAATCCGCCCTCTAATTCGAATTAGTAGGGCTCTCGGAGAGAGCGGTCTGTCTCGATGTGGAGGGTACACTGTTGATGAATCTGCTACTGTCGATCCTATCGGGTTATGTTTTCATTTTAAGTTGAGTGTAGGCCTACTGCACAATACTGTAGCAGGCGTAATTACAGTTTTTTCTGTAAAGAGCAACTTTATGTTCTGTTGACTTTAGTGAAAAATCAACTCGCCTTTTTCCATTTTGTAAGTTCCCTTCTATAGTAAGTTAGTTTTTGCTGCGTAGCACGTCTGTTGTAAGCATCTAAGCTCAGCTGAAAGGGATGATACGATAATCGTACAAATAGGCTGTCCCATCAACAAAAAGTTACCTTTATAGTTTGTTGTATGAAAAAAGTGTGAAATAAGCGTAAAAGTATCATGGTGGTAAAAATAAGTTGAATCTTGATTGTGGTCTCAACGGCATGATACTTGCCTTGTCAGCGAGAGCTGCAGGTTCGAAGCCTGCCTTTCCCGAGACACCTTTTTTTCGTGACTTGGTGTTAACGACTTCTTACTTTTATCGGAGTGCTCATCGCGAAACATAAAATGAATGTTTTCAGGGGCGGATCCAGAAATGTTCGAAAGTGGGAGCCGAAAGTGGGGCCAATAGAGATAACACTACCCTAGGGATTCGGGGACATTCCCCCGCGAAAATTTGGTGTTCTAGACGGCGTAGACGCCCGAAAATAACCTGTGAGGCCGCTTTGGGCGATCAGGTTTTTTTTTTTTTTCTTTTCGATCAGGTTTTTTTTTTTTTTTCTTTTTTTTTTTTTTGCTTTCCAAAGGGGTTTAATAGGAATTGTTATCGTTTTTACAGTGATTTTATATTATTGCATTTGCTGTATGCTCCCTGTTTTTGGCGTTTATGCTGTTGGGGGTAAAATGAAATAACAACCCTCTGCTTTAAACAAAACCTTTTGTTATTTAACATAAAGGCTTTATAAGCACGCTGAAAACGTCCAAATTTCACCTTAAAATCACGCCTACATTCACTCTCGTCAGGGACATCCGCCAAACGTCGGGAAATCCTGTCACCACCCGGTCCTGCTTACACTCCGCATAATTAATGTTATCTAGATGTGTATAAGAGACAGTCTACAAGGTGAGTAAAGTTTATGTATTTTCTAACTTCTCCGAATCATCTATTCTGTTATACATTACTGGGCGAGAAAGACGATCGCGATGATAAGTTAATTGAAATACGCCGCAATTAACGCACTACATTCACTGAGAGACGCGCTTGGCGTTCCATAGAAATGACCGGCGGCTCAACTTGTCGGCGGCTCAACCGGTCATAATCCCTACAGTAGTGGTGGTGAAAGCTTGATGAACAGCTTATCAACTTGGGTAAACTAAAAGCTTGCCTTGCAAAGTTTTCCTGAGAGCCAAGTGTCCTTGGCTGTTCACTAATTATGGTATTTAATGAACCAGTATCGGTAAAAGAAGTCCACTGTGATTGCGGTTTAAATAAAAACATCTGCATCCTGTATTTTATACAAGAATCTTTAAATTGATTACCGCATATAAATGTAATATCCTGAAACCTTATACCTCCTTGTTTTTACCACGATAAAATGTCAAATTAAAATTTTAAATAAAAATTGGTTTTCTTCAAGTAATATTTTAGTTTTTAACTGAAAATAAGAAATTATTTTAAAAATGTTTTCACCATTCAAAAGAAGCTTAAAAAATAGTATTAT